CGGAGACTAACCAGTGCAAGGCTGTGAGTGCTCATGTCAATGCTACTGTGAACATCTGCTGTTTTGCTGGGTTTCTACATGTTCCTGGGTTGTAGCGAGCCACTTGACTTAGTAACCATTCAAAGTTGGGTATGTATGACTATAGAGTACACCGTTTCAACAATCCCGAAGCCATTTACATTCTCCCTGTGCCTATGGGGATGGCTGGCTTCATAGACTGTTTCTGAGGATTCTGAGGTCTGCAACCTTGAACCGGCTTCTAGACATTAGTGCACCTGTTGTTGGCTTCTTCTTGCACTATCAAAGCCAATGAAACTGTGTTTATTCTCTCAGATCCTGGCCAACTGCTTTTGTGGGCTGGTCAGAACTGTGGGCTGCCTCCATGTGTCTGTGTTCTACTATAAATATGTCTCTTAGTTCACACACACAACAAACTTTAATGGTATTTTCTCAGAAATTTACTCAAGCACCTAAGAATCTCATTGGAAGTATTTTCTTAGTGTTAATGTAATATTCCTCTTTTGTTATAACCTACTTTGTTGCATGCTCATACTCTATCTTAATTATAGTAATGATTTTGATGAAGATGTAAGCAACACAAGCACTGAAGATTGGGCAGAGACCAGTAGAGAGATTATATGAGAAAATAGGTGGATTTGGTGTTTTGACCAGGTTCTGGAGGGCCATGAAAAACATAGAGTTCAGATTATATACACAGGCGCACACACATACACTCATTTTGCAAGTGCGTATGTGTATGCAGTGATAACAGAAAAATATTAAATTTATTTAAAAAAAAAAAAGAACTGTGGGCTGGCAGTTGGACTCCAGGAAAGTTATAGGGATACTGCCTCATTGTTTTGGGCTTCTGGACTTGCCATACATTTGCAGGCTCCAGGCTCCAGTTTTACATTTGCCAGTGGCTTCAGGAAGAAGTTACACAGGCAAAAGCAGGGTTATTGATCTGCTCTTTCTCTGCAGCTTGCTGAACACTTCATCTTTAATATTTTTCTCTTAAATATATATATATATATATATATGTCATCCATCTATCTATATCTCACCAAATATATTTGACAAATCAATGTATATGTCTATGAGACTGTCTAATCACCCCTTTGAAAGCACAAGTAGGGCATTATGTGAAGAATAATCAATATTGGTGTAAAAATTGAGGGCTATACGGTTAATCCAAAGGAGCATAAATTGACAGAAGACAAGGCCTCAGTCAATATTTGCAGAAGATATTTGGCCAGATCTAGTTATCAGGAGATTATCATGCACCATTATGTATTCGGAACTCTCCAGATGAAGGCTCAGCACCAGGCATTCCAGAAAGTGGGAGTAGTGACAGCATTCTGGGAGTCAGAAGTGGCTGTGTGCTAAGCACATTGGTGGTCCCAAGGAAGGTGACAAAAGCAGTACTGCACCTGGCCCCATACTGCAACCATCAGATCCATGAGGTGGAGCTCATGGAGGGCCCCTGTCCTGTGTAGCTGGGCTGGAGGTCACTCTGTAGAGGACACAGCCTGGCCCTGGCTCAGCAGCAAACCCAGACTGTGCCCCAGGATCATTGCTTCCATGCCCCAGTCCATCCATTTCCTTCTAATCTTTTTTTTTCCTTTTGGTACAAGGTCTTGATATGCAGCCTGAACTCATAGTGCTCCTCCTGTCTCCACCTCCCCAGCACTGGGATTACAGGCATGCACCACAATGTTCTGTTTCGGTGGCCGCCTGGGCAGGGAGCCGGCACAGCATGCAGTACTAGGGATCGAACCCAGGTCCTTGCACTTACCAGGCAGGTGCTTAGACTGCCGAGCTATCTTCCCAGCCCTCCATTTCCTTTTAAAGTGAAAAGCATTCTCCCTGGTCTCTCTAACTCAGGGTTGCTGGGGTAATCTGATGAGAAGAGAGATGGTTTGTATTTCCTCTGTCACCTCACTGAGAGGCAAGCAAAATTATTTCCCTATTCAGCTGAGGAACACAGGCCATGAGAGGCTAAGTACTGTACAGGATCCCTGTCCTTGGAACTAGAGGAGCCCACATTGGAATCTAGCACATCCCTTAGGTTGCATCAGGTGTCCTCTGAGAATTTAGAAGTCAAGCAGACCATTGAGCTCAGAATGAGGCATGTGAACAGCCTCGGCATCTGCAGGGAGCTCAGAAAAAGCTCCATGCTACCACAGGCTGGCTGCAGCATCCCCGCTGCATTGTCATTATTTCTGCATACCCTCAGGGTCAGAAGCTCTGTTATGGAAAACTTGAGATTGCACCAGAGAGTTTTGGTTTTGGTTTTGTTTTGTTTTGTTTGTTTTTGTATTTTAGAGAAGGGTTTGCAGGGTGTTCAGGGTCTCATTAATAGATTGGACTCAGTGATCCACCTGTTTACAGCCTCCCACAAGCTGGTATTACAGGCATGCACCACCATGCCCAGTATGCACCAGAGAGTTTCAACATGAGATTATAACAATCATGCAGTATCAACATAATCCAACAAATGCCAGGATGCTGTGGATGAACAGAGCAGTAGCACTCATTAGGGAAGCCTGAGAAAGGGGTACAGTAATAGATTGCAGCCTTGCTGTCTGAGCTCTCTCTGCAGGGGAAGCTCTCCTCATTTGAGAAAGTTCTAGGACCCTGCCAGAGAGAATGGGTTTTAAGACAGGAACAAATTGTTTTTGTGGATTTGTGTGCATGTGTTTAATTTTCTTTTCTTTTCTTTTTTTTTTTTTTTTTTTTGCGGAACCAGGGATTGAACTCAGGCCCTTGTGCTTGCCAGGGAAGCACTTATTCCACTGAGCCATCTCCCTGGCCCCTATGTGTTTAATTTTCAAAGGTAACAGGATTACTTTTTTTAAATGATAGAAGAGAAATGAGAACAAAAGTGTTTAGCCGAGCCAACACAGCCCAGCAGAGGGAGGCTTTCCCCTTCCTAGCCTTTGAAGCCATTATGCATTTCATTTATTTCACCATCAGTCCTTTATGTTTCTAGAGTGCAAAGCACACACCAGGCAGAGTGGCCAGTCAGCTGGGGGAAGCTCAGCTTCTAAAGCATCTTTTTTAATGAGTTTTGTCCTCTCATTAAACCCTGGGTTGGTGGATTTGGGCTGGAGAGTGAGAAGTTGAAGAACAAGATGCCAGTAAACTCAGTGTTTGGCAAGGGTTTGCTTTCTGGTCCATAAACCTCAGTCTCTCCATGTGTCCTCACATGATGGGAGGGGCAAAAGACTGTCTTCCAGGACTCTTATAAGGGTGCTAATCCTATTCATGAGGGCTCTCCCTCCATGACCAGATCACCTCTGAAAGTCCTCACCCTCTAATGTCATTACCTTGGGAGCTTGGATTTCAACATAGGAATTTGGGAATGATACAGACATTCAGAGCATAACAAATCCTAAGGCCTGACTCAGGAAGGGCATTTCTTTGATACAGTGAGGTAGGTGTTTTCTGCTCAGAGGCCATACAGGAAATGGCAGGTAGCAAGTGCCAGGACTGATGACCAGGAAATCATACCCACAAACCAGGACCTTGAGATGTACATAAAAATTATAATCCAGGTCCTGACCACATGCTGCAAGGTAATGTCAGTCCAAGGGAAGAGATTCTCAGCCTGGAGGCTGCATATCCTATGGAATTTTATTTTGGAAGACTCCCCCATCCAGTTCTGTCCACCCTCGCCTTTCCCCTGTGTGCTGCATTGAGACTGTAAAACACTCCTGGGAGAGCTGAGATTTCTTTCAAACAAAATTTTAATGCACAGTCTCATGCCTTAACTTTGTGGTTTGTGTTGACTATATTAACTAACCCTTACAAGGTACTTTGCTGAGAAACCAAATCTGTCTGAACAGTGTACCAATTCCCTGAGTCAGGATGCTATTTGTCCATAGCCTAAAGAGTCATTCAGGATTGTTAGACCTCATTGCTGACTCACAGGGATTTATAGGCTAAAGGAGAAATGATGATGTATAAATTAATGTCCTGGTGTGAAGGGTTGTAGACTCCCAGGACTGCATACGGTAACAGCACACTTAGGACCCTGAAGTCTTGTCTCTGACACTTTGGGCTTTTTCCTCCACCTTTACCCCTGTCTTCATATACCAGTTTCACTTCAAACTAACCACAATAGAATTGGCCAAGCCAATTGTTTTATGGTCTGTCCCTCATTGGTTTTTTGCTTTGTTTTAAATTTTCAGAGTCTGGATGGGCTGGCAGACTAAGCGCCTGCTTTGGCAAGTGTAGGGACCAGGGTTTGATCCCCAGTCCTACATGCTACACCAGCCCTACCCCTGGGGCATGCTAAGCCAGCCTGAGTTCAGGCATGGTGGTACATGCCTATAATCCCAGCACGGGGGAGGCTGAAAACAGGAGGATTGCTCCAAATCCAAGCTATGTAGTGAGACCCTGTACCAAATACATAAATGAAAAAATAAATAAAGTAAGTCCAGATGAGGGGGATGTGGGTCAGAATGCTATGGTCTTACTATTACTCCTAATTTCATTATGTTAACAATTTTTGGAGTCACTGAGGCAGAGGCCTGGATTGTAGGGGGAAAAAAATGCACTTTTAAGTTTTGACTCCAGAGGTAATTTTAGCTCAACTGAAAAGAATTCTAGAAAGCATAAAGACAAGTCACTTCCTCTTCAGTCATCCTCCTAAGACCTAGACTCTTTACTCCTTTCACTGTATTTAGTTTCAGAAATAAAGAATGCTGAGGATGTTCTGAGGGGCAGGGACCGAAATAGAAAGCCAGCTGTGGAGGGCTCCAAACCAGATTCTAAACCAGCCCTGCCTTCTCCTCTCTCCCATCCCCCAGTAGCAAGTGGCTGCCATCCATCCCTGTGATGAACTGGGAGGCTGGTTATTGACAGCTGGGCAGTATGCACAATAAAGCTTAACGGTTTACATCCCCTTGTACGACTTTGTCAATGTGTTCAATGGATCGCCTTCTGGTGCCAGTCCTCTCACCGCACTGACTCCTTTCCTTCTTTTTCCTTTCAAGCGTGCAAACGTAAAGAGCAAGAACCAAACAAAGACAGGAACAATTCCCAGAAGAAATCCCGCCTGGTGTTCACTGACCTCCAACGCCGAACACTCTTTGCCATCTTCAAGGAGAACAAGCGGCCGTCGAAGGAGATGCAAATCACCATTTCTCAGCAGCTGGGTCTGGAGCTCACCACTGTCAGCAACTTCTTCATGAATGCCCGGCGCCGCAGCCTGGAGAAGTGGCAAGATGACCTGGGCACAGGGGGCTCTTCAGCCACCTCCAGCACTTGTACCAAAGCATGATGGGAGGACTCTCACCTGGGCACAAGTCACCTCCAAATGAGGACAATAGATACCAAAAGAAAACACTAAGGAAAAAGACACCAGATACTTCGCTGGGGCCCTTCACTGGTGATTTGAAAGCACAATTCTCTTGCAAATAAACTTCTATTCTAGCTGTAATCATAGGCCAGGTGTTCTTTTTGTTTGTTTGTTTTTAATGGCTACAGAGTCCAAGTGCAAGCTGAAAATTAATCTCTTTGAACCAGACACTGTCTTCTGAGCATGCTAAGCAATGTATAAGTCCAAATGGGGCCTTCCTGGAGCCAGCTGATGCCAGTATGATGTCAACCAAGCTCAGGATTGCTGAAAGCATCAACAGAACCACTCCAGGTCCTGCCAGCCTCTTGAAGTCAGCGTTCCCACTGGTAACAGTGAGAAGCGTGGCCCAGTGAAGGACTCTGAGTTTAGGCTTCCATGACACTACAATAAGAGAAGAATCTAGCAACAAGAATGACCTCATTTGCTTTCCAAGTGCTTAGCCTCTATATCCCAGTACACCAAAGCTCACAGCCATACCATTTAACATTTCAGAATAGTAATTACTGAGCACAAGTTTTAAATATGGAAATCTAAAAAATAAAAAAAATCCAAGGACCTGTTTTTTCAACTCAGGCATCTTTTCATTGAATGAGTTAGAAAGCTTTAAGTTGATCCAGTTTACAATCTTTTCTTTACCTCCTGGAAATCTGATGTGGTCTTGGATCTGTCAAGAAAACAAACAAAAAAAAAAAACAAAAAACAAACACTGAATCAATTCACTTGAGCTCAAAGTATCAAGCACAACAACGATAAACAGAAAAAAGGTTCTGGATTCACTGCATCTGGATTTGTCAAGATGCCTGTTAATGAAGTCATTAGGGAATCGTCAAGAATATGGCTTCAAGCACATTTTGCAGTTTGCTACAAATTTTGTTTGTATGTAATGCCGACGCACACTCAGGAGGCCAACTTAACTGCTATGGTATGTGGAGCAAACATGGCATTTTAAAGCTCTAGTTTTTTTAAAGATCATTAATGTGTTCTTCTTGGGTTATCAGTCATCTTGTTCCTCCTCTTGTGCATTATGACCACCACCTAATTCATTCTCATTCTTTCTACTTTGTGTTGTTACCTCATCCATCCCATTAATAGAGATCTTTCCAGTGTTTTCTAGAAGCAATCCTAAATCAATTCACTAGACATGTTGCTCATGACTGTCATCTAGTCCTCTCTTCCATTGTTGACTCATCTTTGCAAAACAACTGAATAAATCTGGAGAAAACACAGCACACCAAAGAAGCACGATACTGCAAACCAAAGACATTTATTACTTGCCATTTTCTAGCCTAATAATACTGTGATTACTTTTAGAAATCAGAAAACCTCTGCAACTCCAAATGGCATTCAGCTCTTGCATTTGGCGCACCATCGGGCTGAGCGGACCAGCTATGCCAAGGACGTTAGCCAAGCCACCAGGCAGTGGCTTTACCACGCCAGCTCTGGTTCCTGGCTGTCACCTTCCCATAGAAAGCAGAAGAGCACCCACAGAACTCTGGGAGATTGCAAAGGTCAGATGTGCATATTTACCAGTGAATGGCCCCAGGTGGGCACCATGGGGGTGTTCAAAGCAAGCCAAACGCTGCAATGATTCTTTACAGACACTTAAGACTGACTTTTTTATGAATTACTTAATCGAAACCAAAGAAACTTTTTCTGCACCTACTTCTGCAACAAACAGAACTGTCCCATTAAATGAATAAATCCGTAAATCAATGGAAATCACCATCAACAAGAAGGAAGCATGCCAGAAAAAAAAAAAAAAAAGAAAACCCACAAAAACCAAAAAACAGCGAGACACACTGTGTTCAAACAGACCTCTTGGGACATTTTTTGGAAGCAGATTTGAAAGAAAGGGTTGAGACAAGAATCAAAGTAAGGAAGAGCCTGAGTGGCTGCTGCTTCATTTGACAACTCACGCGGTAATCTTAAAGTTGAAGATTGTCTTTAATTTGTGCCTATGCAGTTTTTCAAAAGAACACGGAACAGAGCAACAGAAACCTCAACAGCTACAATACCAAAGATGAGGATTTCTCATACCTTTTGTTTCAGTTCATTATCTTCTTTTGCCTGGCTAAAATACTAATAGCGCCATTGATCTGTACAAAGGTAATCAATTTTGTTTCTCTGAGCAACAAAAGGAAAGAGTCATTTATTTGATTTTATTGTTTACTTTTACTTTTGTCTTATGGTTTTTTACCCCAACATGGAATCTCTCAGAATGTTCCATGGACTCCAGGTGTAAGATGTAGGGATACTGAAGGATTTTCCCCTCTCTGCACAACAGAGCATGGGAATGGTATTGTCACTTCAATGTTCTTTTCTTAATTCTTAGACTTGGTTCATTCTATGTTCAGAGTCTCATCATCAGGGGAGGGAAAGGGAGCAGGGAGCAGGGGTAGGGGTCTTTGTGACACATCCTCTCCTGAACCACAGAACCAAAGAATTTATAGAGGAATTTACAGCCTGATCTTCATGTAATTGCTACATCTTAACAGGGCTTCATTTGTGGGTGGGGGAAACATGTAAAAATAATTGCCAGTTTCTACTTTTCTATTAGCTTTTTAAAAAATCAGCTGTAAAATTGCATTTCTAAAGAAAGATATATATAATATATGAATACATATATAGACCAACTTGACATTGGTGATAACCCAAAATTTTTGCTGTCCAAATTCCTGTCTTGTTTTTCATATGCTTCAAGCACTGAAAATTCAGTTCAGAATTTTGCTTGTTTCTCACACCATTCCAGGGTTAATTTGACACTGTGGATAATTTGATGTGTTCCAGTTTTTATGAAAATTTCTGAGCAAGGTCAAAAGTCAAGTCCAAGCATTGCAACATTTAAAGTGTTGATAACTGGACTTGTGGTATAAATGAGTTTTATTTGTACATATAGTCATCTCTATTCTATGCCTAAAGCATGATGAAGATGGTGAATAGGATAAATCCACCATACTGAGCCGGTCTGTTGACATGTAGGCTTATCTTCTGTAACTACTAGGAAGGCGCAGTGGGGTGGTCCCACCAGCTATGGGACATGAGGCCAGCCCAGAAATCTAGCCAATCTCCAGGAGATGCTGTCTCCATCAGGGTATTCCAGATCCTTCTTAATAAGCAGATCCACCAGAGACTTCTCATGGGGACATCCATTTCTTGTTGCAGTGGGCTGATCAGGTTTCCTCAGGGTGGTATTACTAATTTGCATTGACAAGCCTGTATGCAACTACAGCTGGCATTGGGGTGGCCATTGGGGAGCTTTCACTCTTGGAGAGAAAACAGAGCAGGTTTTGGGGTGAGTTGCAGAGTTCTGCCCCCAGACACATTAGCCATTGTGCCACCTCCTCCCCCTGACACATAGGTTGCTCTTTGCAGGGACAGCTGTCATGATTCTGTGAGAGAGATCACAGTTCTCCATGGTTTTTGTGATTTATCCTGCCTGGGGATCATCTCTTGACTTTTCCTTTGTGTTCCTTTGTCCCTTGTACATACTCCATGTGTGATTTGTCCAAGGGTCAAAGAAAGAGCATGTTTCAGCAGGAGATTATTCCTACGCAGATTGGTAGAGATGAATTTTAAGTTGTGTATCTCTAAATGAGTCCTTGTGACTTGTGGCCAATGGAAATGGTTGTTCTTCTTGAGAACAGGTTAAGGAGCCACATCTGTTGATTTGGTTAGTGATTCGTTGACACACTAATATTAGCATCTGAGTCTGGCATCCCCTCAAAAAGTATGGGCCAAAAGAGAGGCTGCCTTTGTGGCCTGACAGTTTAATACTGGTCAAACCAGTACTCTATGATCAAAGGAAGATGTCATTATTTTTTTAAAGGCAAGAATTTCCCTCTTGATAAATGTTTCATATCAGATAATGTCATACTAGAGAGAAGTGCTTGCTTTTTTGAAAAAAATAAATCTTTGCTCCCATATATAAATACATGTGTACATCTGTGCATGTACATGTCCAAACTCTGGGCCTTGAAGAATTTCAGTTGGTTAGAAATCTGAAAAATGCTAGATTGAGAGATTATAGAAATTAACCCAATGAATTTAAGAATTTTTAAATTTTAAGTTAATAATTTCAGAGAAAATAACCAGTTGGACTTGGTTATAGTTTAGAATCCATTTCTTCAGTTCAAGAGATATTCTAAGCATGGCTCAGCTATTAGCAACACAGGGATGATGGAAAGGAACAGAGACAAATTTAACTCTTTTGAGGTAACAGAAATCCTAATGCTTATGGCTATTGAAAAGAAAGATATTTTTCTTTATGCCTTTGTGTAATTAGGCTTTGTTTTTGTTCTTAATGTGATTTTGGTGCCAGGGATATGATTTTTTCCTTCTAAGAAATTAAGAAAAAGCAGATCAATACATTTGTTCAAGGAAAACCTAACAATAATAACAGTAATAAAACACAACATCAATACTTAAAAGCTTATTCCAAATTTGAGTGTATTTAGGTTGTACCAAAAGAACAGGCTACCATGAGCCATGAAGAACTCAGTATGATCCTTTTCTCTGGAAAAATCACAAATTACCTAAACAGCAACTCTTCTCTCATAGGCTCTGAGCAGTTGTGGGTTTAGGAAATCTGAGCTCATGTTCATTTCAAGCTAAAATAAAATCAGATTAAGAAGGTAAATATGGCAGATTCACACATACATATTTATAAATCAAATGAGATTAGGCACTTTTGGGTGGTATGGCCATTGACTCAAACTCAAATAATGTATTTCAAAGCCCAGTATAAATGCCTTTAAAATAATCAGACATTTTAACTTGCCTATACTGGGTACCCACTTTTTAATGTCAAAAAATTAAAATTTAGCAGATTTTTAAAAAGTCACAACTGCTTAGGTACAGGGAGATACTCACTTTTGAAAATGTTGATAGAATTTTAGGAGTATCTGTTTGACAGTTGCTATTAAAATGTCATGACAATATGCCTCTGCAGTGAACTTGGACCTTGTAAGTCTTCAGGGGGTTGTATAATTGGAATTTTTCCAAATCTAAGGAGAACAGACTGGGTTCTAGTTTGTTGAAGAACAACAGGCTCTTTAAAAGCTGGAGAAAAAGATAATACCCGTTGACCACAGGGCTTTGACAATAGCCTCTAGATTGACCACAGGGCTTTGACAATAGCCTCTGGATTCATAACAGATCAGAGCTGACTTTTGCTGTTGCTGCTTATGCTCTGATTCAAGCTTGTGAGCCTAACTAGGAAAGTGAGTGGAAAATAGTAGAGGAAGGAAGGATAGAGCTGGTATACCTATAACTTTTTGAAACTTATTTGCAAAACTGGGTAACTTAATAACTTTATGCCTCTACTGAAGACCAAGTCACCTCTGAAACAATAGGAGATTCCAGTTTTAAAACTCCTTACTAAAGAACAGTATCCCAGTTGCTTGTATAAATTTTATAAGATGATGTTGGCTTTAAATATGGATGTTCCAGTGCCTATGGTCTACCAGTGACTTGTTTCTCTCCAAGATGGCCATGGTGGAAGGAGAATGTTTGTTTTAGAAAGTCATAAAATGTTTATAAAATACCAAAACCATTATTAAAATAATATAGGACCTCACATAGATGCAAAATTTTTAATTGAGGCTGGTGGGCTCTGGGAAGAATACCATGGGCTTTTAAATGCTCATTGTCCTCTGATACCAAACTGACTCTGACAGTCTGAGGCAAGTGAAAACTACAGCCCAAGCCTTTCCCTGTAGGTGTTGAATTAGGTTGGTTGAAGTTAACCAGCCACTATATTTTTAGTGGAAAAATGTGTATAAGAAAAAACAGTGCTAAAGGCTTGTTCATTCCACAGAAGTCTTTCACTTGACTCCATTTTTAGTGACAAGCATTTCATATAGCATAAATCTTGGTAGGTAAGTTTGCCTAAAGCTTATGCCGTCTGTCAGCTTGGATGTATACAGATTTAGATACATATTTTGACATGTATTTTCATAGTTGTCATTCCATCAACACATTACCTATAGGTATCTAGACTGTGTACATGCAAGTATGTACAGACATGCTTAATACATATATACTGTAATCTGTTACAATAAATATATTTTAAATCATCTTGCAATATGTATGTGGTACTTTTACAATGTACAATGTTTTCATTATTATTCACTATAACATTGAAAACCAAAGTGCAGGAATATAAAAAAAGTATCCCAGCATCTTCTTTGTGTACATTTGGAATTACTTTCATTTGGGCACATCCAAGATAAACTCAGCTTACAAAGGAACCTTGGATATTATGTAATCATCTGAGTAAGAATAATGATGACTTCGGTTGAATAGCTTTATTCTGGATTTCTCATGACTAAAGCTAAATCCAAAGATCTGGAAAAGGACCAAAAAATGAAGGAAAAAAGAAAAAAAGATAAAAAAAGGAAAAAATACCAAAATAAGTGGAAACCAATGGGGAAAGGGTGGGCTCTGGCTCCCAAGGTTCAGGTGATGGTTGACATGGTCTGGTGGGGGCTGCACTAGCACGTACGGAGTGGTGATTATGTTTTCTCATGCCTGTCACACCTAAATGGTCTTCAACATGCTTTGTATCCAGAGTGTTGAAAGATATTATATACTTTGTTCACCAAAAATGAAGACGCCCCCAAAAATATTTTTTATCTTTTCTCTTTGGGTTATGACCCAAGCAAAATATCATTATGTAATTAATTTATTTAAATTAGTGTCTAGTACACAAATGTATAGGTCTTGGGTAATTATTTAATTATTGCTTCTTTAGCTTGATTTTACTCCTTGTACTTATTTATCA